TTGGTTCGAGCAGGCTATGCACTAGAGCGTCATCCAACCGACAGACAAAACATAATTGAATTTGTGCAATCTGTAACAGATAAAGGGATGCAACTGCCAGTCGATACTAACCTCGCTCTAGAAATGGAAATCGGCGACGTGGGCGTATTGAAAATATTCGCGAATGCTTCCAGAAACAAGCAAATCATTGCGCAGGATTTGTTGGACGCTCTCATCAAGTTGTTTGATCCGGAAAAAAGTGAGAACAAGGACATCAACGTCGTTCTCATCAACATTTTTGAGAATGCTGCTAAGAACAACCAAACGCTGTCAAAGCATCTTCTGAGCAAACTGGAAAAAGCATTAAGCATGAATGAGTTGGAGCAGAGCGCTCTTCTAGTGTTCAATTATCTGGCTCAGAAAGGCGAGAAGCTGTCTTCGATCGTGAACAACAAATTGCTTGACAGACTCATGAGTGAACAGGACCCGGTTTTAATTCAAGAACTGCTGAGTTCGTTGGGGTCACCGATGCCAACCAAGCCGACATATGTTTTTATCTGCCGAAAATTAATCAAGTCCTGGTCAGAGAAATCAGGTCAGATAATTGCAATGTTCAGAAGTTGTGCATCAACGCGGTTAATAAGTTGGTGACGGTTTGCAAGGAAATAGACGAGACCCTGCTTGAACAACTGGTGGAAACTTGCACGGATTTAAGTTGCAGTAAAACTGCGAGAAATGGGTAAGTTCGTGAGAAACTAAGGTAACTCCTATCAGTATTAGGAAGTTAAGCGGTCTTCGTGATGTCTCTTTTTTAATTTGACCGGTTGAATTTATCGTCGAGCGGGTTTCTGAACAACCTAGTTGACGATTGCTACGCGAATCTAAGCGATGGATTTCTTGTGCAGAATTACAAACAACTGAAAGACATAATTGACAATGGAAGCGTTGGACTGCAGGAAGAAGCTTTGAAAATGCTGCTAAGCTACAACTACAAATCCAAATTGACAGACGAGTTGTTGGAGAGTGTGGCCATCTTGTATGAGAGTACGATGTCAGACAGGCTGAAGAATTCGTGTCTGCAATTGTTAAACGAAGCAGTTGTCAGTGGAAAAACTCTCAGTGGCAGAGCTCGCGAAGTTTCGGACACGAAGCTGAACCGAGATGAAAATATGCGGACATTCCTTCAAAGCCAGGTCTGCAACAAGATCAAGCAAGAGTTTGAGCTAAGCGATCAAGTTGTATCAGATTTGCTGCAATTGATTCAAGTCAGCAAGAAAATCTCTGAGGTGCAACATCTGAATGATCTTCCCCAGCTGATCATCAAACAGAAACCTGATTTCTTCCTGAGCGAGTCATTTGTTCTGCTGGTTGAACGATGCTTGCTGAAGAAAAGCTCTTTACAAATAACATTACCATGTTATTGTCGAATCATTAAGGAGAGAAAATGCTACAAGGTTGAGGAATGTCTTCAAGTGGTGGTTGAACATTTCGTTGAAGACGAGCAAGATTTGGACGACAGTCTAGAGACTTGGCTGTTTGAGTGCATGTATTATGCAAGCAAGTTTACGCAGCTGCCTGATGTCTGTATGGCAGTTGTCATCAACAGTCTTGACAACGATAACGAAGTCATTAGAGGGAATGCGTTCGCAATCTTGAGAGCTTCGAAAGATGAGAAGTTTGCAACAATTCTGAATAATTGGTGTACCCTAATGCTGGCAAGTCTGGCTGAGAATGCGGATGTGAAAATCGAGAAATCGAAAGGTTATACGATATTGGACTTGTTGGAAATTGTTGTGTCTCTCAGGTTTCTCGACATCAACGTGTTCAGGAATAGCGAAAAAGATGTGTGGAAACGAGAGTTGCTAGCTTCGAGCATATTCCTCTTTAAGTCGCAGAACTTCAATCTAGTTTAGGTAAAAATGTGTTTGACCAAGTTCCAACTTCTCTTCAAACCGATAGTGTTTAGGACGTTCTAGGACAACAACTATGTCTTGAAGTTCAAACTAGCGTTTTCACAAATCGTCGAACTGACTTTGATGATGCCTGAACTCAGTTTCGATGATGTCAGTCGAATGTTGAATATTTACGGCCCAGATCCGTACGTAGCCTTCAAACAAGATTGGTGTGCGAGGAAGATCCAAGCGTGTTCATCAAGTAGAGGCGGCATCAACACCAAGTATTCTCACGAACTGGCTGAAAAATTGTGTTTCAGCTTCAACGTTAGTTTCATTGGCAAACTGTTTGGCTGCTTGAAGTCGATTGATAATCTGTCCGCGTTTGAAGACCTCATTGACTTTTGTTCAAGAGAGAAAATCAATCTGAATGACATCCTGGAAAATGAATATGTTGAACTAAATGACCTGATACGTTTAGTCGAGGCCAAGCATTTGATCAGATGTGCAAAGAGTCAGCCGGAGAGTGAAGCCGAAGAGAAACAATTTCTGCAGATATTCCAAACTCTGTACGATGCTGGGTGGAATTTTGTTCAGATGCGTGACCTTGTAGCTGCTTTTAATCCGATTGGGGCGTTTAATCGATTTCGGAATTTGCTGCACTTCTTGAACACCATTCAGATCTACGGCCTGTTCTCGATTTCGAATTTCGAGAAGAGTAAGCAAATCTTGATTGACACAACAAGTTTCCAAATGATGATGCAGAAACTGAACAAAATAGCCATTGAGAATCACTTTCAGCTTGAAGGCAAAGTGAAGGATCTAAATGAACTAGTGGCTGAGCTGAAGAAATCGAACAAGCATGACCAGGCATTAGTGTATTTCATTGAAAAGGGTGCCCTGAATATAAGGAAGCACATTTTTGAGAAGCAGTCAGCCAAGTTGCAATGGAAGGAGAAGCAGATTTATTTGTGGGCAAAGGATATCAAGTCTTCCAGAAAGGAATTCAGTGATTACGAAGGAATCGCGGTTATTCTGCGTGCAAACTTCCTGATAACTGGTCACACCCTGACTGACACGCAAATATTGTGCAGCTTGATTGCGCTGAGAACTGGGGGAAGCCTGAAAGGCAAGTTACTCGAAGTTGCAACGGGTGAAGGAAAATCCACCATCATTTGCATTCTGGCCATCATAAATGCATTGAGAGGCAACCTCGTTGACGTAATAACCAGCTCGCCGGTTTTGGCTGAAAGAGATGCGAAGCAAAAGGCAAAATTGTACAGAATGTTTTGCCTGACGTGCTCTGACAACAACGACAAGACTGTGTATCTTAGAGGCAGGAAGAGTTGTTATTCCGCTGACATCGTTTACGGCGAGATGTCGCAGTTTCAGTTTGACATACTGAGAGACAGTTACAGCAAGTTGGGAACGCTGGGTGGACGCAAGTTTACGACAGCAATTGTGGACGAGGTGGACAGCATGCTGATTGATGACAGCTCGAAAATCGCTCGTTTATCGTCAACGATTTCAGGCATGGACCACTTCCAAGCAATTTATGTGTTTATTTGGCAACGCCTGATTTCGATCAAAGAGAAGTTTATAATGTTCAACAGTAAGTTGTACTTCGTCGACGGCAAAGTTGGTTTCGAAGACGGGAAGATAACCTTGGAAGTTGTTGACAGCAATAATGACATTTGGAAAATTCCTGACTTGGAGGAGTATCTTGTTAGAGCAGGTGACAAAAGTCAAGTTGGCGAGTATGTCGGTGACGATGTGGATGAGTATCTGAGGAATTCTTTAGAACATTATCTGGATTGCCAAATCAAAGAAAACAAGATTTACGTTCCCAGTAATTTCGCGGATTTCCTGCAAAAGCAGAAGCCAAAGTGGATCACGAATGCCGTCGAAGCTTTGAACTACCAGGAAAACGTTCATTACGTGGTTCAAGACGGAGAAATCAAGCCGGTTGATTATTACAGTACCGGTATTGTTCAGAGCTCCACCAGTTGGAGTGACGGATTGCACCAGTTCCTTCAGCTGAAGCACAATTTAAAAATGACCAGTGAGACGATTACTACCAACTTCTTATCGAACATGGGGTTGATGAACAAGTACGAGCAAGTGTACGGCCTGACCGGAACGCTCGGCTCGGAGACTGCCAGAGGTGTCCTGAAGAAAGTTTATGGTGTTGATCTAATTAACATTCCGCAGCGGCGGCAAAAGCAGTACCTGGAATTGGAATCGATTGTTGCAGAAGGCGAGGCCAACTGGCTGAAGGAAATAATGTCTAACATTATCCACGAGATTCAGAAGGATCGAGGAATTTTAGTAATATGTGAAACAATTGAGAACACGAACCGGATTAGCGGGATGCTGAAAAATAAGCTGCCGCCGAGCTCAGTCAAGTTGTATGCAATGAACGACATGAACCAGGAGAAGAACGTGGAGAAAATTTTACCCGGTGAAGTTATAATTGCGACAAATTTGGCCGGAAGAGGCACCGACATACAGACCGACGAAATTGAGGCGACGGGGGGTTTGCACGTGATTTTGACATTCATGCCCAGCAACCAGCGAGTTGAAGATCAAGCATTTGGCAGAACTGCCAGGCAGGGCAAGCGTGGCACCGGCCTCATGATTCTAAATGGTCATCACTTGGTCGGTTACGCAAGCACAACAACAACAAAAAGTATGAAGATGGATCGTGATGGAATTGAGTCAGAGCAACTTAAGAATTTTCAAGACTTCGAGCTCAAGCCGATTCAAGTGAAAGACAAAATGTTTGACGTATTTTGCGCATTTCTAAACGACGAAATACGCCTCAGGATCAGACAGGAGCAGGACACTTACGGAAATCGCGTGATGAATTCGTTCACCGAAGTTCCACCGACCATGTATGAGTGCAGCGTGCTCGCAGCTGTCGAAGAGCAATGGGCAGGTTTCTTGAGCAAGCTAGACGAGAAGGTGATACAATGTGAAGATGCCGAGACCAAGTGCCAAGAACTGATTAATCAGCTAAGGCAAGACTTTGTGGTCAACAGCGTAATCAAAAATCCGTATCATTACATTTGCATTGCAAATGACATACTTGCGAGTCAGTCACCGAAGGCTGAACAGGTGAAACGAGCTCTCAGCTATTTCGAGAAAGCAGTTGAACTGGAACAGAAATCAGGATCGAGTAATGGTGACGAGTCTTTATTCTGTCCCGGAGCTGCGCATGCAGGCATTGCGTGGTGCTGGATCCTATTAAAAGAAGAAGGTTATAAAGAAGAGGCTTTGTCATCATTCAAATCTGCTTTGACGTGTCTGTCGAATGAAATGAGTGTATTGAATGCTACTCAGTTGTTGTTGGAGCAAAAGCAGGCTGGGTTTGTCAACAGCGACCTCTACAAACAGCTCAACATCAAGGCAACAATATTGGGTTCATACCTAAGCAGCATCAGTGATTCTATAAACGCCATCAAGAGATCGAAGCGTCTCATTGACGTCGTTGCAACTCGGAAGCAC